TAATGTTGCAATTTATACTCTATAAATTACGAGAACGTAGAAATAATAGATCGAATTCTCTATGTATTTCTTAGCATCTAAAAAATACCTATTTTTATCTTGCATTTAAATACTTTTTTGAGAAAAGCATTTTGTATTTTATTTAAAATACTTTTCCAAACGTATTCTCTATTTGTAAAATGCAAAATACATTAAAGTTTTGCTAGTATCACCGATCAAGCTAGATAAAATGATGAATGAAAGTTGCTCACATTGGCCATTGAAGGTATTAGAAACTTAAAATTGAGGCATTTCATGAATGATTTCTAATTCTTTAACTAAAGAGAGCCCAAAAAATTCTAAACTCCTTGGAAATGGATAATCTAAAATATTAGATCGATATTGCTTTCCTGGTTCAATGTTATGGTCAGTGGAATTTTGATTTACCAAATTGATATCGGCACCTGCCAAATCATCACATATCGTACCTTTAGCAAGGAACTACAAAATTCTATAAATTACGACAAAACAATATCGAATTGATATATGTCAGCTGTGTAAAACTTAAAACTACAAGATATTGTTGTTGTGCTAATAAATGCATACAATCCAAAATTCTCAGAAAACGATTCGAAAAATTTAAAAATTTTACTTATTAGATGAACTAAAAGCTAAAGAAACTATGAATTCCATTTCTTTTTCTTTTTATAATATGTAAAAGATCGGAAATAAAATGGAGTCATAAATATTTTGATATAGAATGATTGATGTTGATTTTACATCAATAAAATTATTTGTAACCTTATTGTGGCTCTGATCATTCACGCTAAACAAACTATTTTGGCATCAGTGTCTTTTTTCCAATTAAAATGAGTGACAAAGATAAATAAGGAAGCATGTAGAAGAATTATTTGTTGCTTAACTGAAGAAACTATAACATAAAGAAAAAACTATATCTGTATCACTTCAAACAGAAAAATATGAATCATACTCAACCATCGCAGCTGGTGATATAAGGCAAACACCACTATTAGTCTAGAAAAACTTCAATATTTAAAAAATGAGCAAATACCTGCAAGTTTTCTTAAAAAATATTTTATGCTTAAATAAATGTAGAAAATTAAACAGGTACTACAAGAAAATATTTATTTGAAAAAAGCATTTTAAAAATACGTAGTTTGCATTTAGTATTTAAAATACAAAAGGGAAATCTATTTTGTGTTACTTTTCAAAAACCCTTTTGCACATCTCACAAAATATAGAAAAAAAGAGTTTAACTCGCGGGGGACTCTCCATTATTAAATAAACAGCTAAGTAAATTTAATAAAACTGTCAAGAGTTGACAAGAAATTTTAAACCTCAATATGGATAGGAAGGGGACGAGTTGGTCTGTGTGAGTGTTGTGAGTCCGCTCTTTTAAACCAGTGCAAGACTCTTTGTTAATGTACTTACGTATTTTTATTTGGTAATGTATACATATGTGTATGGAATTATAGTTGGTCCTTATAGTGTTTTGATTATTATTTTATTTTAATTTTGTTAAAAAAATACCTAGCGATCAAAGCGAAAAAAGCATAACTTTTTGGGAATAGCTTTGAAAATCCGTAAACACTTTCATATCTATTTTATTAGGTATTTGATTTGAGAATATTTGTATTAATTGTAAGTTTCAAATTAATAAAGACAGGAATTAGGTTTTCCCAAGAACCATCAGTACCCTCATAGGTCCCTTATTAGGGGTTATTTAAGAAATCGTAAAATACGTGTTTTGTCGATTATTTTAAACTAGTGACCCACCCCAGCTTCGCACAGGTGCAATGCTTCAATGCTATCTATATTAAATGCACAATGTATTTAAGGTATTTAATTGGATAAGAATTAATGCTGTATTGCCTACAATCGCTTCGTAAATAAGTCATTATTTCTCATAAAAAGTAAAGGATAAAAATGGTTATTGTGGGTTATCCCTAAGAGATAGACATATACCATCCCGGACTTTTTTGAAGACCTTTTTAAGATGTACAATATTGTAGTACATTATTTTGATCTATCTGGTAGGGTTCAGCCAGCGTTTGCAATGTAAGCTCAAAAAATGTGTTTATTTACGACATCACATTAGAAACCTCTAAAATTATCAGTGTTTCCCTACTATATTATACATGTATTTTACATATAAACCTTCCTCTTGAATCACTCTATCTTTTGAAAAAAACCGCATCAAAATCCGTTGCGTAGTTTTAAAGATTTAAGCATACATAGCGACAGACAGC